AAACTGTGGCCCGAGCTCCGGCTGCTCACCGGGGCTCACAAGCCAAGCCGGCTCCAATGGCGCCTCCAGCACCCGGCCACCCTTTTTCTTTTTTTAAATCACTTTTGTTGTTAGGGTTTTTAACCAATGTCATAGGAAAGGACATTTTTACTCTGAATTTATGAAAAATACCATGATTCACTCTCCCCTCCAGTATATGTGTTTTTCATTGAAAATGCTAAGCATTATGATTGATCTGACATCACCATCATCATGCAAGCACAGGAGATGTCATATAAGGCTTGTCCTTGTGCAAGCATATTTATGATTTCATATTCCCCCAGAACCTTTACATAGTAAAAGATTTTTTTTTTCATATGCTGGCCATTTTTGTTGGTTAATTTAATTTTTATTTTTTTTGGGGGGGGGGCTCTATACCACTGAGCCACCTTCCCGCCCCTGTTGGTTAATTTTAAATGTCACTTTCTTTTTTTTTTTCTTCGTAGGCTAAGCTTTTATTCTGCTACCATTCACATTCCTTTCTAGCCTTTGATTTCAAGAATCTTCACCACTATACATGCAATGTTTAATTTATAACTGTACGGAGCAATGTAGTAGTCACTAGCCAAGTATGACTATTTAAGTTTAAAATTAAAATTACCTCGGAATGACCTAAATCTCACTTTCATAAGTAACATCAACTCACTTGAGTTGTTGATCTATGTGCTTATTCATTTGCAAACATTTAAACAATATTTATAGTCAGGTAGAGCAAAACTCCTCTATTTTTTTTGGGGGGGGGGTCCGGTCATGGGACCTGAACTCTGGGCCTAGGCGCTGTCCCTCAGCGCTTCAGCTCAAGGCTAGCGCTCTACCACTTGAGCCACAGCGCCACTTGTGGCTTTTTTCCTTTTGCTTATGTGGTGCTGAGGAATCGAACCCAGGGCCTCATGCATGCAAGGCAAGTGCTCTACCACTGAGCCACCTTCTGAGCCCCAACTCCTCTATTTTTTATACTATTACATATATTTTTATTTCGCTTTCCAGTCTAATCTTACATTATTTAAATAAGATAAATCAATATCTTTATCTTGTTTTTCCAGCCAGTTTCATTTAGCACAATTTTTATGTCCCATCAAATACATGATAAATTCTTCTATTTTCAAAAGTACATTTTTCTCAAACATTTATTTTTCTAGAACATTTTATAATATCAAATTCCATTAAGGAATTCATTGGGATTTTGACTTGAATTGCATTCATTTTGTACACTATTGGTTGAAAAGAAGTAGCTTCGTTAATTATACTCCATCTATCCAAATTTCAGGTCTTCTGTGACTTTGTGGTTTCATAGTTTTTCAGTTTTGTTTTTAATGTGGCTCTTGCATACTTCATTTTCTTCTTCATATTCTGTAGTTTTATTGTGAATGGATTCTGCATCACTACCCAAGTGATGTAGAGCTTACTGCTTTTTTGTATTTCTGCCTTAAAGTACTTTTTAGTTGGTTCTTAGATTTGCATTTGGCAAATATGTTATTATTTTTTCTGTTATTTATGCTTTTCCCCCCCTTACTGCAAATGCGTAGGAAACCTTGAGGATAGGAGTGGAATGATAGATAATAAAACAGTGTTCCTTTGTTACATTGTTTTTTTGTTTGTTTGTTTTTTGGGTCCAGTCATGGGGCCTGAACTCTGGGCCTGGGCGCTGTCCCTCAGCTCTTCAGCTCAAGGCTAGCGCTCTACCACTTGAGCCATATTTGTTATATGCTGGTGGTTTAAGTTCTTTGAAATTCACCAAGGGGTTTTGTGTTTGTATTTTACTTGGAGTGGATGTTGCATTTTACCTTATTTCTTTTTAGACATCCTACCTACTTTGTTACTTTGTCTTGGAAATATCCCTGTTCTTTGGGCAGTTTTATGGGGGCGGGGTTGTTGAGT